AACTTATAACGAATGGTAGAGTTATACACGTAGATAACTTACCTCCTCGTACCGGCTGTCTAGTTCTTCCGGGTCGAGAAGGTACTCAGGGTACGCCACTTTCTCACCCATCGCGTTTACCTGTAACAACATTTTAAAAATGTTGGAATTCCAATTACTATAATTGATTTTCGGTTTGAGATTACTACTTCATTCGAACAATTCTTTAATTATGTTTATCATTATTCGATTCTGCGTTTTTATGATCTTCACATTCATCGCGACCGACTGAGGGCGCGTCATGAACCGTAGTTTCGCTGGTTCCCTGCGTCCTTTGCGAGTGTACGCACTAGAGGCGGGAACGGCGGGAACCAGCCAAGAACCGTAGTGAAAGTGCCACCACTGTTCGGAGTTTGATTACACGTCGTCGCTGTGACACAAACTTAGTATGAACAAATACTGAATATGGTTACTTGAACCGTTTGAACAAAATGTAAACTGCACAGAATGCACATTCTGAATATACATTATGTGGCTAGTCGACAATTCTTTCTATGTCAGTGAGGGCAATGTCGATATCTCTCACCTTTTCAATAGCAGCGTGCTTCGTTTCATCGCTCATCCAATCTACGGCTTCAAGCAAATTACTCTTGAATGCTGTTTTTATACTAGTAACCATTTCGGAAACCTGAAATTATGATATGAATTTATCAATTAATACTATTTAACCTAATAAGTGTTCATATATATCGAATACACGAGATCGAAAGTTCACAGGTCCCGGGTCCTAGGTGAACTAACCGTCCACCATTATATCCCAGAATGCACCACACCGAGCTAGATAGGCATGTTTATGTACAGGTCGTGCACTACTACGTATTTTGTCGGATACCATGACTTTTACCGGATATGACGTGTGTGTCATGATGTATAATAAAACAGTGCTAGACATTGGAGGCCTAAATAGGTGGAATGGTCTAGGCCTAGGTCATAGGCGGGAAGTTACCCACAATGCACCATCACGAGAGTCTGGTTAAGGTAGAGATGCAGGTTGGGAGACTATATTTCTAATTGCCTCTAATTACTGTAATTACACAAGTAGAATATAACTTTTACCCATCAAGTTATATATCATTTGAAAGAGTTATATTTAAACTTTTGAGTTTTATGGTTTACAATAATGTACTATGATACCATATTAAGTGGTGTTGATTTTGGGTTAAAATCATGCATTTTAGGTGAAAGTGCACTTAAAACTATTTAACTTTTGAATGCATACCCTGATTTTAATTTAAGAACACTTATTTAAAACTTCTGTTTACTAGGAACATAATGGCTTATTTATTAGTGCTTTCATTGAAAAGTTTTTACACAGTGCTCTTTGAAACATTCACATTTTATAAATCGTTCACAGTTAACAG